AAGCATGTTAATCCTGCAATTAACAAAAGTATCATGCTACAATTATATTATCCAACCACAAATTATTAATCATTCAACCCAAAGTAACAACTCACCAACTTCTATAATTGCACTTTATGTTTCATTAAATCCTTTTTTCATGGGTTAAAAAAAAAAAAAAAAAAAACTTTTTTGCCTTTTTGAATTTTAAGGTCAACAAATTAATTAGTAAAATCTATTTTCTTCTAAAATATTATTCACCAAACTAATATTATGTAGACCGACTCAAATATTACACTAAAAATAAGACTTGAAATATTATGGTTACCAAACCAACAACCCAACCAACACAACCTTTATTTGGCTTACTTGATTTTTTTTATGAGGTCACAACATTACAATTGAAAAGCTTATACCTTTTGACCTCCCAAAAATTGTCAGAGTCCTATGATTTTCATTTAGATCAATCACGTCACTTGTCTATATTGAGATTACTGAATTTGATGAGATGATTGAAAGAACGCTTTACGTGTTATCTACTCATTTAGATAAAATTGACTTCTCAATTTCTGAGATTAAGAAAAGCGCTTCGATGATAAAATAATAATAATAATAACAATAATAATTATCATCATCGAGAACAGACACATACGCTCCGTACAACACAAGCAAGAATTTTCGTTTGTGAAGGGGCAGAAGGAGAAATAGCAATAAATGCAGGGAGTTGAGAAGAAAAGTTGGAGAGCAAAGATTATGGGTGAGGCCCAAAATAGGGAGAAGAGTTTGATCATGGGCCCCACGGATCGGCCACGTTCCAACGTTTCAGGCAGACATATCTCCAATGTCTCTTTGCCTTTACTTTTCTTCTAAGACTTTATTAAAACATTACAATTTGCTCTCCTTATAACAATTGGCAACATATTAGCCATATTTGGTAAATGGCTGTTAACTTATAGCTGTTAGTTGATTGGGTTGATTATGGAGTATAATTAGTTAACAACTTTAGTAGATTGTAAGAAGGTGTTTGGTAAATTAGTTGTTGACTGTTTAGACAATCAGTTCAAAAATCACATAGAACAAGTAAGCAACACTAAAATGCATTAAGTAAATCTTGTATTGTGACCCTAGTCAGCAAAGAATCACACGATCAAATGTAAGCCAACATAAGTTGCTAATAATTGACCGGCTCAAATCAAAAAGACCAATTGACTGCTCCCGTCAAGAGTCAAACTTGTAACCTTGTAGTTATCAAATTAACAATCTTACTAATTTTGCTGGAGTTAACTCTCATATAATCTTATTTATTTGTATGTTTCGTTGTATTTTAAAAAATAATTAAAAAACTAGAGATGTATTTAGGTGCAAGAGTAGGGTAAGTGGATTTCATTATGGAAGTAATTATTCCTCTTCAACTGTCTTTTGCTTTCAGTTGTGATGGCTTTGTGTTACAGCTCAGCAACCGCGTTTGTACGATGCTTTCTTTTGCTTTCCTCTTTGTCGCACATATCTGTCGTTTATACTTCAATTCTAATCTCATTTTATCGCAATAAATTTTTTGAAAAATATATGGTGCTTCATTAAAAGTAGGCCGAAAGAATATCTGGTGGGAGCAGATTCCAATATATAGTAGCAGACTGCTGATAAGCGGTAGTTGCTAAAGCATGAGCTAAATAATTATCTAATCTAGGAATTAAATGGAACGAACAAGACTGAAATAAATATGCAGTAAGTCTGCAGCTGTCAATGGCATAGTCTAAGTATGTGCGCAGCACAACGGTTGGTGTAGTAAGATAGTGATGTAGTGTCAAACAGTCCATATATATCTCGACATTCTGTTCTCCTCGATCCTTCAACCACGATAGAGCCTCCTTACATGCGAGCGCCTCGGCCATGAGTGGCGAGGAGCATCCTTGTAACGGTCCGCTGCATGCCGAGACGTAGCCTCCGTTCATATCTAGCAAGACCGCCCCAAATGCAGCTCGGGCCGTCCCTTGCATAAATCCTCCATCCACACGGCATATCCTCCTGGGCAGACCATATGATGTTTCGGCAGCATGCAACTCGACACCATGCAGCCCGGATCCCCCTTGCGGTTGTACCGTCCCAGTTGGCAGCGCAACAGCTCGGGCTGTGGGCAATGGATGTGCCCGCGTCCATGCTAAACCGGCAGCAGCAGCGGTTTTGAGTACCGCCTCGGGGCGTGGTAACTTTGCCTCCTAGACCGCCTGTTCCTTGCTCTCCAAACATTGTATAGAATTGCTGCTGCATATAAGATTCCATCAAAGTCTAGAACATTTAAGAGTTCACCAAACCAATCATGAAAAACATTTGTGACTATATTGGGGATCGTGAGGTTAGATTTTTCCCAAATGTTTATTGCATAATCACACAACACTAGAGCATGCATTGTGTCCTCTTAAGATATTCCACACATGGCACATTGTGGCTCCACATCCACCCTCTTTATAAGCAAGTTTGTAGTGGTAGGCAATATATCACTAACGGCTCTCCAAAGAAACATTTTCCATTTTGGTGGGATTTTGAGTTTCCATAGGTGTAGCCATTTTGTAAATACCCCATTATTTCCTTGATATTCTCCCACTATTAGTCGGTATCCACTCTTAACAGAATACTCCCCTCTTGGGTCCCCATACCAGTACCAGGTATCATCATAATCCAGTGAGATGGGTACTTTCAAAATCTCTGTTACATCACTAGGTTGAAATATGTCAGTTAAAATTGAGGGGTCCCAATTTCCAGTTTGTTGATCAATCAAACCTGAGACCCTGGCTCCTTGCAACTGTAGTGGCATTTCTGTCTGTATCATAAGGTCATGATCATTCCGTAACCAAGGGTGGGTCCATATGAGTGTAGACTCCCCGTTACCAACTCTGCGCCTGACCCCACCACAAACTATACTCTTTGCTGCCATGATGCTCCGCCAGCAGAAACTAGGATTATTTCCCACTTGTGCATCCATAAACGACCCTTTTGGGAAATAACGAGCCTTATACACACGCGCCACCAAGGACTCAGGCTTGGTCAACATCCGCCATGCCTGTTTCCCTAACATTGCTAGATTAAAGGCACGCAAATCTTTAAATCCCAACCCCCCATACTTCTTAGGGATACACAGCCTGTCCCATGCTTTCCAATGTATTCGCCTGTCAGTCCCAGAGTCCCACCAATACCGATTCATAATTCTCTCTATCGCCGTACACACGGATATAGGCAGCAAAAAAACACTCATTGAGAACGTAGGCATAGATTGCGCTACAGTTTTCAATAAAATCTCCTCATCTGCCTGCGAGAGCAGTTTTTTATTCCATGATCCAATCCTTTGACGGATTTTATCCTCAATATAAGCAAAAACTGCTTTTTTGTGTCTTCCAACAAAAGAGGGGAGCCCCAAATACTTGCCAAAATTCGGGGCTTGTGTCACTCCCAAAATCTGAGCCACATTATCCTTATCGCAATAAATTTAAAGGTCAATAACCCCTTGACTTTCAAATTGGGAGTATTTTATCACTTCCTTTGTTTTTTCCATTTTTTTTCATACAATATGATATTCACGTTTGATATAAGAATTTTTAACTGTTTTGAAAAAAGTTAAAATTTTTGAAAACATATGTATAATGCTTAATACGATATTTAATGCCTAATAAATTTTCATTCTCTTATAAAGACGTGTCGCATATATGTTGTTCTAGTTCGTCAGACCTTTTGTTTGAGTGCTCAGACTTAAGGTCTTAATATATTTCATTCTGAGAGACTGGTGCTACAACACTCCTAGCATCATCGAGGGTAGCGACTTGATTTTAAGGAAAGTATGTTTTACATACAACTTAGATCTTTTCATTGTTTTCGTTAGATTTATAATTTCAGGTTTGAAAACCCTCTTCTGGTTAGTGTTATATATATATATATATATATATATATATATATATATTGTACATCGACTTATTCACCAGTAACATAAAATTAATATGTCGTTATTTGAATGTGCGTTATGGATGAAACCCACCTTGTACTCTTAATTGAGGAAAAACTTATAAACAAAACTTTTTGTCAATAGTAGCATGCAAGTGGAACATGAGTAGTTGCATTTGAGCATTAAATAGTGGTTACCTAAACAAGTGACTTCATGGGATAGTAACTAAAGTCTACTCTCTCAAAATTCCATCGCATGAAATTCAAAAGAAATTTAATGCAAGTAAAGACATTTTCATAATTTAATCTTAAATTTCACATTCTGATGGGACAAGATCATAAAAGAATAAATCACGATGATTTAGTGTCCATTATATGATAATGATTATTATAACTTAAACAAATAGAACTTATCTCGAAAGAGTTATCAATAAGTAAATTAAAACATAATTCTCACACATAAGATCACTTGTTCAATTCTTACTAACATTTACTCATTCGATCGTGCATATTGCACATGTTCTTCCCTTGCCTAGTTGACAAAACTTTGCCATTAATTTAGTATTATCCGTCATTTTGTCCCAGGGAAAAGAGAGTTGCCACACGTGTCTTAGTATAGTGGTACGTCTCTTGACTTGAAGTCATGATAGGAGGCGACAATGTAGCGGTTCAAATCATACTAGAAACGTTAATGGGAAAAGGGTCTAGGAGGATGGAATGTGTGGATTTGATCAATTGTACGCGCTTGAAAACTAAGGTTTCACTGGCAGGTTTATTGTGTCACTCGTGATTTACCTCTATAATAATTCTAGAGGCGAAATTTTGTGGCAATTGTGAGTTTAGAATTACCTGAACAAAATTGGGATCACGAAAGTATTTTTTTTTTAAAAAAAGTTATAAATGGAGTTCGCCACATACCTCCATGTCCGTACACGACGCGTCCGGTCAGATACGTGCGCACTAAGATTCACTGCGCCGTTTTTCATTGGACCCACTCGTGGATTCCGGCGACATTTCCCGGCGAGATATCGAGGCTTCAATGGCGATCTCTGGGTAAGTATCTGATTTCTTCTGTTTAGTGTTCACAAGTCGAAATTTTTACGTTTCTTAGGAGCTCCGTAATAGTCATTCAACCTTTGAAACGATGGCCGAAAAAGAAAAAAATTAAAATAAAATAAAATAAAAAAATTCCCCTCTCTCTCTCTCTCTCTCTCTCTCTCTCTCTCTCACGCAGTAGGCGTGATGTGTGTGTGTTTATGGTGAATTGATGCCACCACAGGCCCCCCCACGATAAAATGGTCTTCTTCCCAACCAAACACACTTTCACTCTCTCTCTCTCTCTCTGCTTTTTTATCTTTTGGGTTTTTCAAAAATTCAGAACTGTATTTGAACAGAAGTAACTGAACTAGTGCTTTACTGAGTTAACTCGGTATATCTGCTTTCTCTTTCCGTGCTCTCCGCCTATTCGATTGATTCAAGAGTTCATCCCAAAGCGCATCTCAATTCTGGTGATTTTTTTCTTCTTGTTTTCTCCTGTTTCGAGTAAGAATTAACTTGGAATTGATTGAGATTTCGCGTAAAGTTTGCATTTTGATTCTTTGGGTTGGTTTCTTATCCCATTTGATTGAGATTCTTGTGGTTTGGATCGAACTTTGGTTGCTTTTTTGGGTCCTCTTTAACATATTTTTGAAATTTTGTTCTGCAAATTGTATTTTCTGTATTTTATATTACTTATATATATGCATACACAATATTGGCATATATAAGTGTATTATGTATAGTTAAGTAATCTGATGCTGCATTTGGAAAGAGAAGCTGGGATTGCCATTGCCATATATTGATTGAAGGTTTTTCTGTTTCTTGAGCACAGAGTTCAGATTTGGCATTAGTGGAATTTAAATTGATGTCTGGGATGCTTGGTTTGGAAGGAAAGCAAAGATTTTGGATTGTAGATTTGTAGCATTTGGCTTTAAGATTATCCATCTAAATTGAGGATAAGGTTTGGTTGGATGGAGGTTGCAAAGCGGTGGTTTAGTAAGTTTAGTCTCAAAGAAAAGCCGAAGCCTTCGAAGAAGAAGGAAACCGCTAGTAATGGGAAGGAAGGCCAGAAACCGGGTGCCAACGATGAAGCGCCATCGAATGCCACTAAGCAAAAGGTTGCTGCTGCAAAGCAGTATATCGAAAAGCATTACAAGGAGCAAATGAAGAGTCTGCAGGAGCGTAGGGAACGGTATGGTTCTAGTCATCCGTCCATTGTACTCTCAGTAATCTTTGTCACGTCTTGTTGAGCATATAGCCATTAATGTGCAATCCAACTATTAGCTTAGGCTTTGCGTTGTCTCTGCCATAAAGGGGATGCATTATATATTTGTATTTTGGTGCAGGCGTAATGTGCTGGAAAAGAAACTGGCTGATGCTGAGGTTTCCGAGGAAGAGCAGAACAATATTCTTAAGTACCTTGAAAAAAAAGAGACAGAATTCATGCGTCGTCAAAGGCATAAAATGGGCGCTGATGATTTTGAGCCATTGACGATGATAGGAAAGGGTGCATTTGGCGAGGTATGACCTATCTCTATTTTAAAACTGCTATGGGCTTAGCAAAATGGAAATACGAATGTACATTTAAATTTTGTCGGTCCCCTCCTTCCAAGACTGTCATATCTAGCCTGCAGATACTTTTAAGCGTGTTGAATTTGAAAGATTGAAAGGCCTGGTGGGTGGAGAATAACAACCACCCGCCAGTTTGGTGGAAGCAAAAATGAAGAATCAAAGAAGTAGAAAATGTATTATAATACTGAAAGGTTACAATATATTTCTATAATTCTATGTTTCTAATGAAGAAACATTGATATATATACAGACACATATTCATAAACAGACATAACCCTTTGTTTTTCAACAAAAGGCATTATTTTTTTATGTTTCATGTGTAATGTATTTCAGGTTAGAATATGCAGGGAAAAGGCAACTAGCCATGTCTATGCCATGAAAAAGCTTAAGAAATCTGAAATGCTTCGTAGAGGCCAGGTGGAATTATATTTTGCTTTCTAAATGGCTGTATGGAGGTTTTCTTGGTCTATGCTTATTTTGGCTTGCCATCCCTCGTCTTTTCCAGGTCGAACATGTCAAGGCAGAAAGAAATCTACTTGCGGAGGTTGACAGCAATTGCATTGTCAAGCTATACTGTTCTTTCCAAGACGAGGAATATCTTTATCTAATAATGGAATACCTTCCCGGAGGAGACATGATGACTTTGTTGATGCGTAAGGATACCTTAACTGAAGATGAGGCGAGATTTTATGTGGGGGAAACGGTCCTTGCTATCGAATCTATCCATAAGCACAACTATATTCACAGGTGGATAGAAATGTCTGTTGTTTGTCAGATATAATTTACTGTTTTTGAAGAGGAATTATTGATATGTTTTTCTTTTCGTAATTTTGCAGAGATATAAAGCCTGATAACTTGCTTCTTGATAGAAATGGCCACATGAAATTGTCTGATTTTGGACTATGTAAACCGTTAGACTGCAGCAATCTTCATGAAAAAGATTTTACGGCAGGAAATAATTATAGCGGTGCCCTTCAAAGTGACGGGCGCCCTGCCCCTCCAAAGCGCACTCAGCAAGAGCAACTGCAGCATTGGCAGAAGAACCGGAGAATGCTTGTGAGCTTCTTACTACACTATTCACTTCTAGGCCATGTCTCACACGAGAGTTTTGGGTTTCTTGAAATTGTTCTCTCTTTCTTGACTTTATCTCACTTGAAGTTCACAACTTTAAATTGCTTTCTCCAATAAGATAGAATATAAGAACTTACCCACAAAAGCCGAAATCCCTCGCCTGGCCCCCCACACTCCGGCCCGATAGGATTTGTGGAGGCGGTAAATCACGGTGACTTAGCGGCCCATTAGGTGGGAGGACCAGTGCCTGGTGCTCACAAGGAGCCCTTCTCCAATAAGACAGAATATAAGAACTTACCCACAAAAGCCGAAATCCCTCGTCTGGGGCCCCACACCCCGGCCCGATAGGATTTGTGGAGGCGGTAAATCACGGTGACTCAGCGGCCCATTAGGTGGGAGGACCAGTGCCTGGTGCCCACAAGGAGACCACCACATTGGGTGTAACTCCCACACTGCGGCTATCAGGACTCGATTCTACGTCCTTGCCCACAATCTCTTATGGACTTATTTCGCTTTGCATTTATTAATGATTAACTAGGATCTTGTGGAAATCTCTTATGAAGTAACAATTTTTACGGTGTAGGCTTATTCCACTGTTGGAACACCTGATTATATTGCCCCGGAGGTTTTATTAAAGAAGGGATATGGAATGGAATGTGACTGGTCTGTATCTTGGATATGTTCTCTTTACTTTTTGTACAAAAAGCTTCTATTCTTCTGAAATACGTTATTCTGGATTTCTCAGGTGGTCACTCGGTGCAATTATGTATGAAATGCTGGTGGGATATCCTCCTTTCTATTCAGATGAACCTATGTCTACTTGTAGAAAGGTAAAAATCAACATCGGCCCATTTGCCTCTTCTCTACAGTGGCAATGACGTAGTTCAGAATCATTTAGGGCTCGTTTGGTTCGCGGAAAATATTTTAAGGGAAGTGGAATTGGAATTCCATGGAAAAACAATTACTAGGAAGATGAATTTCATTGTTTGGTTGGTGGAAAAAGAATTACTGGGAATACTAATTCTATTGTTTGGTTAGATTTGAAATTGTAAGGAATAATGAGTATAAAGACCTATATGCCCCTACAAATTAATAAAAGTAATATAATTAAAAGAGAAAGCAAGGGTAAAATGGGCAATCTATTCACTTTTTCTTCCCATCTTCCATGGAAAACAAAATCCTTGGTCCAACCAAGGATTTTGTTTTCCTCAAATTTTGGGAATTCCATGAACCAAACACTAGAAAACAACATTTTCCTTCACTTTAAGGAAAATGTTTTCCTTTGAAAAACATTTTCCATGAACCAAACATCCCCTTAATTATATATCCAATATGTCGTTTTTGCATTACCCGGTTATTTAGGCTAGTGTTCCCATGAGTCCACCCTTCCCCATGAGTCTGTGTGGACAGATCTGGGCCATTGAATACTTGAGATCAATGGCTTAGATTTGGCCAACTGTGCAACGCGAACTATGCAAGTGAAGTGCACAGTTGGCCAAATCTAAGCCATTGATCTCAAGCATTCAATGGCCCAGATCTGTCCACACGGACTCATATAACAGGATGGACTCATTTGATCACTAGTCGGTTATTTATTTTGTGGAAAACTCCGATTGCAATAAATCTTCTAGGCTTTGACTTCAAATTTCCGTTTTCAGTCCTAAGCAGGAAAGTCATATCTGTCTCATTGCTGCAGATTGTAAACTGGCGAACGCATTTAAAATTTCCAGAAGAGGCAAAACTATCACCCGAAGCTCATGATCTTATTCGTCGGCTTCTATGCAATGTTGAACAAAGACTTGGGACAAAAGGTGCTCATGAAATAAAGGTATTTTGATAAAACATAAGGAGTATATATCGGTTTTGAAGTATTCTTTACACTTGAAAAGATCAGAGAGTTAGGTATCTTCCTTTTGATCTCTATTTTTCAGGCTCATCCGTGGTTCAAAGGTATCGAGTGGGATAAGTTGTATCAAATGAAAGCTGCATTTATTCCAGAAGTTAATGATGAGTTGGACACTCAAAATTTTGAGAAATTTGAAGAGGTCGATAAGTCCCGGTGTTGCTGACCTTTGGTTTTGTTCATTAATGCTTTGCTTTTAATCGTTCGGTAATGTGCTTATTGAGTCGTGTCTGGTTTGCTTTCAGACTGACAATCAAATTCCAACGGCAATGAAATCGGGTCCATGGAGGAAGGTTAGTATGCCTAAGAGGAATCAATATTTTTTGCTAAAACTGTTTATTCGTTAAGAATCTGCCAAGCAACCTAGTTTGTTGCCACCAAAAACATGGTTATCATCGTGCAAATTATGACATTCTTTCCGATGTTTAAGGTGGTCCTTACTTTTTCAACTGTCCCTTTTCTTGCTTCAGATGCTCTCTTCCAAGGATGTCAATTTTATGGGTTATACATACAAAAACTTTGAGATTGTGAACGAGAACGAAGTTCCTGGAATTGGTACGTCGCTCATTCTATCATTCCCATATAAAAATGATCTATGGATTTGCCCCGAGAGATCCCTTCCCTTCTCTTTTCCCTTCACTAACTTCTAATTTCATCGAGTATTACTAGGATGTTTGAAACTGTATGTACACTTGAAAATGGATTGATCTTCTCATTTCTGTTTTCAGCCGACCTGAAGAAGAAGAGCACTAGACCTAAACGGCCAACTGTGAAGGCCCTTTTCAGTACGATTTCTTTGTACAACTTTCTCCTACATAAATTCACCCTTTGTTCAATGTAAATTGTCAAGGTTGCAGAAGGCGTTAGGCGCTAGTCGGGCAGCCGGGGGTGCCTAGGCTGCCCAGTAAAATAATAATAATAAGGTGTAGCCGCCCTAAACCCTAAAAAAAAAAAAAAAAAAAAAAAAAAAAAAAAAAAAAAAAAAAAAAAAAAAACTCGGCCGAGTTAGGTGCCAAGTCGGCCAGCCGACTAAAAGGCACCTAGGGGTGAAATCCCCTCGCCCTTAGGCTGTCTGCCTCTTGGGCCGATTTTTACAACACTGATCATTTACTGTCATATGACTTTCGTTAATCCTCGTACACCATCATTTGGTCTGTAAGGAATTTAGCGTTCCGCTTTCATATAATCACACACCATCTTTTAACCATTATGTTATCACACTAGTAGACTGTTGGCAAGAAAACATCCTAAGATGTCGGTTTTACATGGTTGCAGAGGAAGATTCTGATTCCGGTTCTGTCCAACAAAACCAGGGAAGTTTCCTTAATCTGTTGCCTCCGCAGTTAGAAGTCTCGAAAGGCGAGGAATCGAAACATCTCTAATCTGCTGACAGTGTCAGGCAAAACCATAGTGAATCCATCATACAGAAAACAACATTTATACAGTCTGATCTTATTCCTGAAAGTTATATAGTCTGTGTTGTGATGCTCCAGTTCTGATGATCTTTGAAGTGTAAGTATTTGAGGGAAGAAAAGGGCTCTGTATTTGCCTTGCTTCTTTTGCTTCTTCATCTTGTGTAAATTATTATTCTTGAAGTGCAAATAACATTTTTTTTTCACTCAAGGTGTTTTCTGCAGTTCCCCACTTTCTTTATAATTCATTAGTTTAGGTGGTAACCAAACTGTTAATGCAACTATAAGATTAGAAGTTTGAATCAGTTGCCCGTACGGGTTTAGCTCACTAGCTCGGTAGGTCGTATTTGGGAGAAGATACCAAGATTCGAACCTCAGTAGTGGCAGTGTGGGGATTATACTGAAAGTGGACAGATCCTTTGTGCACAACAAAATTTGGCCATGACTGTTGAGTCATTGTGTCTGCTAATGCTCTGTAGGATCAGGGTGTGGGACCCTTGGGGTTGAGATTTAACATTTTGGGAGAAGAAGGCTGAATCATTTTTTATTTTTTTTTGGGTGGGGTTTTGGATGAAGTCTGTTGAGCATATAATCATTAATGTGCAATCCAACTATCAGTTTAGACTTCCGAATGGAGGGAGGGTATGTTGTAGTAATTGGAGTTTTTGTGAGGCAAGAGGGGAGGGTATGTTGTAGTAATTGGAGTTTTTGTGAGGCAAGAGTCATGCAAGTTGGTTTGTCTCTCGCGTACAAATAGCGCCCAAATTTTTTTTCCTATTGTCCTTCTTTGTCTTACATGACATGCAAAAACTTGGTAAAAAATTTTATACTGATTATAATCAATTATTTAAACAGTTGATAAGCGAATTGATAATGCAACTCTAAAGCTAAAATTTTAAATCACGTATCCTCCTTAGTAAGAATTGAACTCTGTCGGCTCAATTCAACTTGATTTTCCATGGGATATGAAAGTCAACATAGTTCTTAAATATAATTATAAAATACGGAATAATTGTTATAAATGAGATTTTGATAAGGACATTATCACATATGCAAAGTCCTCTACAATTAAATTAGTCAACAGGCAGCTATCAATTGTCACAGTGAAATTTGGCTCACATAGACAATTATTTATCCAGTTTGAATTTTGTGGTGAATATGTATTCCAACTGTAATAAATGATGTATATGCATTATTCATGTGATGAATATGATTTTAAAATTCCCCTCATATTTTATTAATTACGGTGCTATCGGTCAAATTTGAAACAAGTAACATTATTCCCCACTTATGACATTGCAAAAAATGTGAAATATTATACAACTTTGTATACAACTTTGTATAATGTGAAACCAAATACCTTAACCTTATTTATATAAGGATAGGTAATCGTCCACGTACAGGTCGGCATTCAAATTTTAAGATTCTCTAATTATACAATAATGCATTCTCTATTCACCTAACCTAGCCACATTGTCATGGAATTAGAATACGGACTCATCAGGCATATAATCCATCAAAGCGAGAAGACTTGTACTAACAAAAAGAAGAAGAAATACTAGTTCATATTATAATTTTGAACTATGTGCTCCTGCATGGCTCATGAGAATCCTCAACAGTTGCGGTTTTTGAGAAGTTTTTGCATGTGTGATTAAAAAAGAGAAAATAGGAAGGAAGAGAAAAAGGGGAAAAAAAAACAAAACAAAATCTGAATTAAAAAAATAATCGCATTAACGTGCCCTACTAGGCGCTCCTGGTGCGCCTCACGCGCATCAGGCGAATTTGTTCTGACTGACTGGTGGAGCCCACAACAGACTCCTGTCTCAAAATGGGTGACTTTTGAGTGGATGGATCATAACTGTTGTACATAAAAGTTACAAGTTTGATAGATTTAAGGTTTTCTTAGTATGATTTATATCTGATCTGTGTGATTTGTGCGTTATTATATAAGAGTGAGCTGATATAGGCATCTTTATGGCCGGTCTTTCCAAGCTACCGGTCCCATATATCATCTCAAATTAAACATTTACACCTAATAATCTATCAGTGTAACAAATAATAGCCCATATATGAGAAATTGTTAAAAATAGTCAACACGTAGCGTGATCTTATTTGCTGGCGTAGGTGTGAGAGATAGCAACGTTGTAGACGTAGGAGCAGACAACATCTACATGGACTTTCCCTTCCATTTGTACTCTGATTTTATTCATTAATTATGGTGTCAACTGCATATATACTTTTATATTTTTTAGAAAATACGTAGTTGAAGACGACGTAAGGAAACTATATTAATTTCAAAGAAATCATTTTTTTTATAAATAAGATTTATTAGTAATCGGTCAAAGCGAGCGGGTGGAACGAGGTGCCATAAGAACTCCCAACAAATTATACGTGGATCATGAATAAATATTTATTTTTAATATATTAAATATATATTATTTAAGTACTTAACGTTCATTATTTGGTATATACGAGATGAGTGAACAATTCTCAATCAGAATAGAGTGTCTTTTTTTTTTTTTTTTTAATAGAAACACTAATGATAGGTATTTAAGTCCAAAGGAATAACTTATCCTAAAATAATAATAATAATATATAGGTGTACATGAAAACCTTGAATCATAAGTACTACTCTAGAATCTATCTTGCCGGATGTGAAATTACACCAATATGTGAATGTATAATGCCTTACCAAAACTAAGATATATAATTAATTTTTTGACAAATATTTGAAGTCATATATATTACTTTGTATTTAGTAATGGATAATACAATACCTTAGCCTTAAAATTAAAAACACATTGCATATTATATTATGAAAAAATGTAGTTGAGTCCGAAAATGATGGTTGAATGGATGGAACATGATTCTTATACCAGAAAGTTATGAGTTTGATACTTTTTAACACCTTCTTGGTTGAACCCGTTATACATGGTCTTTTTAGTGTAATTTACCTCTCATGTATGATTCGTGGACTTCGTGGGCTATTACACTGGAATTGAGCGAAATTTACTTGGGCACTACACACACTCAAATATGACTGCAAATTTCTCTTGTCACTAACAAAATGTTCTTCGAGCTAAGTAATATATATAAATTAAAGAAATGTATTTGTTGTTTGTTCCACAAAATCTAAAAACAAACATATATGAAAGGAATTAGTTCACCAAACAAGATTGGGAAAGTTAGAAAATTGGGTCAAGACTTTTTTGTATGGACTGCATGTTTGGCTGCCAATAAGAGATAGATTAGCTTTGCAATCAATCAATTAACTTTTAAACTTTATTAATTGGAGAAAAGAACTTGGTTAATGATAAGGATAAGCTTATGTACTTGCAACAATATTATAAAATACATTGATCATAACATCTTTGTCATCATGTGATTTCACTATTACTGATATGGAATCTAACCCACCTCCCATATACAAATACAATATATATATATATATATATATATATATATATATATATATATATATATATATATATGTCTCATATGTTACTAGAAGATGATATAGAGGTAGGGATGTAGTGGAATGGAGCGACAACACTTTGATTTATAAGATCATAGATCGAGTTCATAGCATGTTATTTGAAGGTGTGTTATATATGGGTGAAATTTGTCTTATTATCTTAACAAAAAAAAAAATGATCACAATGAGGTAAAATAGCTTATGTTGCATATAATTGATGGGTTCAAATCAAGAAGGGCAATAGATAGTTCTTTTGTTTTGAGGGTTCACTATTGAATTGGGTTTGATGAGTAGGTCGAGGTGTGAGGCAATGCCTCTGCCCCTACCCTTGCGATATGATATAAGGGTAATTTTGTAAATATACCGTAAGTTAGTATTAGATATAAATATGATGCTTATAATACTGAATATATTGTCATCACAATTGTCTAAACTAGGTAAATGTTTTATTTCTATGTTCAAGATTTTTTTTTATTTCAGACCACATGAGATCCATATTTGATAGCAACTCATCAATGTTGATGTCAAATTGGAATTGAAGCCAAGAAGAAGAAAGAAATGACATAAAGGGAAAATGACAATATTAGTATTTATGCATTGCATGATAAAATTAATTTAATTAAGTCTTGGTTAAATTCTATTTGGGGATAATTTTCTTAAGAATGTCGGTCATATTTCATTCAAAGTAACTCTTTTAAGAGTAGTGTTGTAAAAATTAGTCTAGGCGCCCTAGGCTGGAGAAATTTCATCCATAGGCGCCTTTTAATCGATGGGCTCACTAGGCGCCCGACTCGGGCAACTGGGCGCCTAACTCGGTTGAGAGTTTTTTTTTTAATTTTATTTATTTTATTTTTTTTTATTGGGTTTAGGGCGGCACTTATTATTATTATTATTATTATTATTATTATTATTATTATTATTATTATTATTATTATTATTATTATTATTATTATTTTACTCGACCACCTAGACGTCCTAAATGCTAGGCCCCCACCGCCGCCTGATCAACGCTTAACACCGTCTGCAACTTTGTCTAAGAGAACTTTGTGTATATCAAGACTAGGCTGAATTGTCCTATTACACAAGACTGCAGATATAAGTCCTTTTATTTGATGATTATAATATCAATTTTATAATTTTTCAAAAGAAACACAATTATACATTTATACCTCTCTTACCCTATTTTACAACTAAAAATTACATTTTTTTTTGTGGACCTTGTCTAAAAGCACTTTTGGAAAATTAATTAAATATATAAAAAAAACTGTAAAATCGATTTTATTTTATTTGTCCAAAAAAAAAAAAAATAGCGTAAATTACCAAAAGGACCCTAAATAATTAGGACCAACACAGGAAGAAGGAGGGCAAAACGGACAACCCAAGAACAGGGACACACTACTACTGCCCTTTTACCTTTGTGTCATCCCCATTTCATTCTCATCCGCGGAACTTGTCTATCTCCTTACACAAAAATCCTGCCAGTCTCGATGCCCCGCGGATTTCTACTCCATAGATTCTCTCTCTAGCCTTGTTTCTCGTTCCATCTCTCTATATACTCATATATTGTACTAATATTGCGGAGCAATATTTATTTATAATTCTCATCCTTTCTTCCTCCATGAGCCCAACTCCCCTTCTCATTTCCAGCCTGTAGACCCAGATTTGTGCTATCTATCGGTGATGGCATATTTCTGGGGCCTCTTTCAATAATTTTCTTGATCTATCTTTTCATTTGCCGTATTTTTTTTATCGGAAAGAGAGAGGCTTTAGTATTTTTATCCGGGGTGGGAGTGTAGATAGATATATTTTACTTTTGCTTCAAGTATCGATAATTGGTATTTGAATTAAGGTTGTTTTATGCAATATCTGTTTTGTTTGAGGAAGAAAAGTAGGGGGGTTTGGGCAATACCTGGCATAATTTATTGATAGTTGGACTTTTTTCTGGATCTGGGGGTAGTTACAAGATTTGTGCTTTTGATGGTGTTCTTGATGTAATGTGAAATTGGGTTGAGGGGAAAATTTGAAAAGGTTGCATCTTTGGTGGATTTTAGATTTTCTTTATTGGAAAGTTTGAGTTTTTTGTGTTTGGGAATTTGAGTATGGATCATGTGATCGGTGGAAAGTTCAAGCTGGGCCGGAAGATTGGTGGTGGATCTTTTGGGGAGCTTTACTTGGGTAATCTCTATTACTGTTCTCTACTTCCAAGTTGATTTTGGATTGTAAGATTAACTGGGTATTGTGGTGTTCTATCAAAATGTGATTTTGTTGCAGGAGTTAATGTGCAGACTGGAGAGGAAGTTGCTGTGAAGCTGGTGAGTGGGGTTTAATTGCAGCTAAAGTTTCATTGTATAAATGTGGATTAAATGGATTGCACTACTTGTAGTTTAAAGAACTTCATATTTGTCTTCTCAAAGATCACATCTTGATCGAAAAAATAGTGTCTTTTTGGTGTTAGTTTGCTGGTATATGTGTTTTGATGCTAGTATTTTGTACATAAGTGTCTAGAATGATTAAGTAATGGTAGGGAAGGGTTTCATAAGGTACATTGTTTAACAGGACTTAATTAAGTTTTCTGCAATTAGGATGTCTATTTTCTTAAATTTAGCGAATCCCAATGTTGTCTGGAATCTAATTTTCTAGCTCCCCAGGAACCAGTTAAAACTAAGCACCCTCAGCTTCATTATGAATCAAAGCTCTATATGCTTCTACAGGGTGGAAGTAAGTACACAAGTATTCTTGTTTTCTATATCTTCAGAAATGTGATACCTTTTTTGAATGTGATACCTTTTTTGTTTTCTTTAAGCTGGAATTCCCCATCTCAAGTGGTTTGGAGTCGAAGGAGAATACAATGCCATGGTTATTGACCTGCTTGGGCCGAGCCTCGAAGACTTGTTTAACTACTGCAATAGGAAGTTCACGTTGAAAACCGTTCTAATGCTTGCAGATCAATTAGTAAGTATATATACCACGGCCATATAATGGAGGTGGCGTGATTTATGTGGCGTTTTCGGTGATTATTGTTATTTGCAGCTTAATAGGGTCGAGTATATGCACTCAAGAGGATTTCTTCACCGCGATATAAAGCCTGACAACTTCTTAATGGGTTTAGGACGCAAGGCGAATCAGGTCTGCTCTTCAAATCAAATGCCTTCTTAATCGGTTTAGGATTGTTCCTTTACAAAATGTTTTTTTGTTTTGTTTTGTTTTGTCATAGGTATATATTATCGACTATGGTCTTGCCAAAAAGTATAGAGATTTGCAAACGCATAAGCATATACCGTATAGGGAAAACAAGAACCTAACGGGCACGGCTCGTTATGCTAGTGTTAACACCCATCGTGGAATCGGTAGGTGAAGATATTAGTTTTTCCCCGTTTATTTGTATTTGCCCGGTTTCCGTTTTTGTAATTGTGTTTCCTTTTCTCGCTTGTAGAGCAAAGCAGAAGAGACGATCTGGAGTCTCTTGGCTATGTGCTAATGTATTTCTTGAGGGGAAGGTTTGTGAAAACAGCTATCGTTTAGCTTTTTTAGTGATTTTACTTTGTAAATATCTCTCGTATTTGATTCCTCGTATCACAGCCTTCCCTGGCAAGGGCTGAAAGCGGGCACTAAGAAGCAGAAATACGACAAGATTAGCGAGAAGAAAATGCTTACCCCTATTGAGGTACTGTAGGTTCAATAATTGATTTGTGATTGTTGAGCATATAGCCATTAATGTGCAATACAACTATTAGCTTAGACTTTTAGTTGAGATGGAGCACATGCTTCACGTGAGGGGGCGTGTTGAGCATATAGCCATTAATGTGCAATCCAACTACTATTAACTTAGGCTTTTAGTTGAGATGGAGCACATGCTTCCCGTGAGTGAGGGGGCGTGTTGAGCATATAGCCATTAATGTGCAATTCAACTACTATTAGCTTAGCCTTTTAGTTGAGATGCAGCACATGCTTCAATTGTGATTAACGCTATTGAATACATATCCGTTGACCTATACACAGGTGCTTTGCAAATCTTATCCATCCGAATTCATCTCGTATTTTCATTATTGCCGATCATTAAGGTTTGATGACAAGCCAGACTACTCATACTTGAAGAGACTCTTCCGCGACCTTTTCATTAGAGAAGGTAAGTTTGTTCTTTAAAGCACAACCGTAATCATTGAAACAAAGTTCTTTTCCCATATTTTTAACAATTTTTGTTCGTTGGTGCAGGCTATCAGTTTGACTATGTTTTCGATTGGACTATATTGAAATATCCACAGATCGGTGGTTCCAGTTCTAGAGCGCGAGTATGTCTTTATTTGCTATATCTATATCTCCACCTCCTATTAATCAGAAAAAAAGTAAAAATCAAATCTTTGTTATCTCTTACTTTACTATTTGTTTTCAGCAACCTATAGGGAGATTATCTTTGAACCCCGGACCATCTGCTGAAAGAGCAGAAAAGACCCCGGGTATTGTTCTCATCTTGCTTCACTTTTTATAGTTTATATTTTTGAATACAACTCCAAGAACTTACATAATTTTCTCGAATAGTGAGGCAAGAAGTCCGGGGGGATAGGTTTTCGGGTGGTGTGGAGGCGTTTGCTAGAAGGAATAGCTCCGGTACTGGTTTACACGGTGATCATTCGAGGCACAGAACTTCGGAGGATATCCCGTCATCCAAAGATGCAGTGAGTGTCATTAGTTTATTTTTTTCTTTTCAATCTTCGTAGTTGCCGTTAATTCTATTCTGCCGTTTTTGTCCTCAGCATGCTGATTCTGAACGAGGACGCGTTTCTCGGACTGGTAGCGCCTCGAGGAGGGCGGTGATGTCAAGCAGCAGGCCGAGCTCCTCGGGCGAGCCCACCGACAGTCGAACTGGACGCCTGGGCTCGAGCAGCGGGCGTCTATCTTCGACTCAAAGATTACAGCCCGGGGTTGAGTCCAAATCGTCGTCTTTCGCCCGAACTTCTGCCACGAGAGGCGGTCGTGACGACACGCTCAGAAGTTTCGAGCTTCTGACCATTGGCACTGGAAGAAGGAAATAATTAACCGTCAAAAACTCGAAATGGTCACTCCACATTTTATGTTCACACCATTGTTTAAACCGTAAACCACGACGAGCTGTTGCTGTCGCGTTTGCCATTTACCTTCTCCCCCATAATTCTTCACTTTTAAGTTTTAACTGCCTTGTAAAATCACCAGAAAATGGCTAAAGATCTCACTCCCCAGGGAATTTAATTTGTTTGTATATTTGAGACCTTAGCTCTCTTCAATTCAATGCTGCCCCCCCTGTATAAGAGAGGAATCTGTGTTGAAAAAGAGAAACATTTTTTTTTACCAGTCTCAATGTTTTGCTGTCATTTGTCTTTGAACTATTGTACTTGGCTGATAGTGGAAAACTGGAAACTGCATTTTAAACCTTTTACCTTTGAGAACACAAGTTTTTCTGTGCTGTTCTTCAGCTAATTTTCTTTTTACACTGTCATTTCTCTTTTCTCTTTTCTATTTTCAAGTATTTACATTATTCATGAGCTTGTCTTTGGAGTAACTTAAAAGTAAATTTCTGAAATTATAAAAGTGAGCATCGGGTGTGTATTTTCAGACGAGAATATGTTAGTTTGCCAAGAGTTAGTTCGCCAAATCATTAATGACTTTAAAGAAGTTTTAAGTTCCTCCAAGAACCTTTGAAACAGTCTGCAAATCAAGTTTTCTGTAGTTAGGGAAGTTGTTTTTGTGTTAGACTATAAAGAATGGCTTACCATTCCATTGAAATTTGTTGTAAACGTTCCAATTAATGATTTAATGAATTAGGTTTGTTCCTTTAAAAAAAGTGTACAATAGAGATTTAAAATGTGAAAGAAATATGAAGTACAAGATATAATCATTATAAGGGCACAAATTCGGACATGGCGCAAGTTCTCGTTTGGCCTATTACACACATATATATATTTATAGTGATTCAAATAAGAACATGGTCCTATATATATATATATATATAGGGTTGAGTTCACATGAGGACCACAATATATAGAGGACTGTACGGACTGATTACGGGCACACGATAAATTAGTATCAAGAACACAACTTAATACACAATGGCACACAAGAATACATTTAAACTTCAGGTTTCAAACTCAGGCTCTATTAATTAACAAACATATGCACACGACATACAAATTATGACACACGACTACATTCGGTCATGCACACAACATACAGACTAATGACACACGACTACATCAGTCCTCACGGTCATCTATAATGTAGTGGTCCTCATTTGAACTCAGCTATATATATATTAGTTGTCATGAATTGTTTACCTCTATTGTAAGTTAATAAATAGAGATATATAATAATCAAATGCCAAAAGTCAATAGTATGTGAGATGTTAATGAGTTGGGATGACAATTACATCTTAACAAATGGAAAAGAATTTTGGGAATGAGAAAGAAGGAAAATTTTACGATGTGATGAGTAATCGTGTTCTATGTTTTATAAAGTTGTACTCTTTACTTCTTTATGTATTTTTGACAAAACACAATTTGGAGATGAAAACAAAAGAAAATTTTACAGTGTCATGAGTTATAAGTGTTGTGTAGTTTGTAAATAAAGTTGTACATTATACTTTACAAGTTTTCTCTTTGATTTACAGAAAAGCCTACAACAATTACTGAATGTGCGTTCTGGGTGAAACCTGCGCACCTTATGATCTTAGCCGGCAAAGGATTACAAGGAGGTAAACCAACTTAGTTTGTCCATAACTGACTAGTTCAAATTGATAAGGCCAATAAGCAGTTCCGGACATGAAACCTTAAATTGTGATTATCAAGCCAAATGTCCAACCAACTTAATGAAGTACTGATTTACACATGTTGGGTGTTGAAAGTTTCAGGTTTATCCTTCTTTCTTTTAATGCCAAAAAAAGTGGTAAAGAAAACTAAACAAACAATCCAAATGACAGTGTCCATTAGTTGTTTTTTCTGGTTTATATCATACCTTTGACCCATACAATGTTCCAAGCAAACACTTCTCCTTAATTCTCTCCACATCAGTAGTGGCTACCCTGCAATCTTTCCTTTACATTTATCTATTTCTATATATATATATACCTAAAAGTTATTGAAATTTCCCTTAATTACTAGGCATCTGATATGGGCAACCTTTTCTTAAATAAAATAAAAAAACAGGCATCTTACTTTCTACATGAGAAATACAAAACTGCCAGACTCTTCTTGACAGATGCAACTCAAGCTGAACTGTAAGCTCTCATTCTAGCTCATATCTATATATGAACATATTGTAATTATTATTCTTTTTTTGGAAAACGGTGGAAATCCGCAGTCACTAATCGAGGTACAAGAAAATAAACCAGTTTAGGTTGTCTATAGCTGACCGACACAAATTAAACCAAGAAGGTCAATAGGTCAGCTTAAATTGCCCAAGTTGATCAGCTCAGACGAAGAAAACCAATAGATCACTCCAACCCAGAGTTAAATTTGAAATTTTGTGATTATCAAGCTAATAGTCTGACCAACTTATTATAATTATGATGTTATATAGGTTGGCTGAAGATGCAACTGGGAATGATGTGGGTACCCCTGACAACATAACAATGACCATGATTGCTGAGGCATCCTATGAAAGTGAAGATTACTGGAAAATTGTTGATGTGCTTCATAGGAGGTCATTTCTAACCTTAATTTCTGTGATTATGTTTTGTTTTTGTTTCCATTTTCTTATTGTGGATGTGTTCATCATGTGATGATTATTAGGTTGGATGAAATTGACTGGATGCAATGGAGGCAGCTGTACAAATCTTTGGTGTTGCTTGAGTTCTTGATAATCCATGGCCCTGACGATTTAGGAACAGAGTTTCTTTGTGATGTTGAAATCATTAAAGAGCTTGGATCATTCAAGTACAGGGATGAAAGAGGGTATTCACTTTTCTTATCTTATTTTCTCTGATTAATTTATAGCATAACTCATGAATAACATTGAGAAAACGAGCAAATATCAATTTTGATCTTAGGAGTATTAGCAAAATGACAGTTTTGGTTCGTATGTTTAATTCCTATCAATTTTTATTCACAATTATTATTTTATTATCAATTTTCATTAACAACTATTATTTTAGTGTCAAAAGTCATCATGTTGGTTACCTATTCGTTTAAGATATGCCGAAATATGAAATTATGAAGGGTATTTTCGTCATTTTTAAATTAAGATTTCAATTTGAGCATGAACAAATGAATCAAGCCTTAAAATCGATCCCAATTCACCGTTTTGAAGAGAATTGCGTATTAGGATCGATCTTAAGACTTTAATTTTTTTTATTCATGATTAAATTGGGATCTTTAGTTAAAAATGACAAAGATACCCTTAAATTTTTTAAATTTTGACAGTCTTAAAACACGCATGATTGATTTTGACACTAAAATAATAGTCGTGAATTTGAATATTGGTAATAACTAAACATATGTATTAGTATTGTCATTTGGTTAATACTCGTGGAACTAAAATTGTCATTTTGTTAATATTCATAGGACTAAATACATAGAAAATGACATTAAAATGGGTGTATTTTTGATGCAGGTTCGACTGGGGGCTTATGATGCAGAGAAAATCGGAGAGAATCCTGAATCTCCTGCAAGACGACGACGCTCTAAAACAAGCCCGCCTGAAAGCCCAAAGAATCTCCGGCGAAATCCACGGCTTCGGGAGTTCCACGTCGCCGGCGCCATCTCCGTCGTCTTCCTCCTCCTCCTCCTCCTCCTGGTCTTCCTCCCTCGGCTCCAACTCCACAACCAGCTCCTCCATCAGCGACGACACAGAAGACTCTAACAAAGACGTCGTCGACGACTGCTACAGTCCCGACATAACCACAGTTTCCCCCAGGGCGATGATGAGCCGGCTGGACGATAAGCCCTCGCCTTCTTGGACCCATTGCTATAACCGTAAAGAGAAGGAAAGCTTACTGGTAAACGTCGAAGATGAAGAAGAAGAGGGAGACAAAGATGACCCAAACTTCTTGGGCAGATTATGCTCCAGGCTTGGGATTAGTCCCCGGGGCCATGACTTTAGGTGCCATAGCTTTAAGAGACTTGATGATGGGAAGGAGAAAAGGATGCTACTTAGGCAGTTTTCAAGAAGATAATATAAAAATTCGTCATTCGATCTGTTCCAGTACCTTTTGTACCGAGTATAATCATGCAGGTACATTTTTAGGGTTATACAAATAAAATGTAGGCAAAGGTGGAGAGTAGTTTGAGACAGGAGTAGTACAATTTTTGCATCGAGTATAATCATGTATGTTTGTGTAGATTGATATTATAAACTTTCTCTCATATATATATACACATAAAGAGCGGGGGTGAGTGAAAACATATACCCGATTCGTTTTTCATTTGTAAACTTCGAATTTTATAATGTTGTACGACATAATATTGTGTTACAGAAACTAAAAATAAAATAAAAATTTGTTAGAATCTAAATTTGTGTTATCAAGACAAAATATTTATACATATATATGCTATCTCGATCTATCTCATTTGATGAAGCTTGATTCAAATTATTTAATCTATAATTTAATTTTTTATAATATTTAGTTCAGTATTAGTAAGTATATATAAAAGTGACAAAAAGAGTAATAGTTATACCTACACATTAATAAAATAAATAAAAAATTAGGGAGAGTTAGGGTTCTTGATAGTTTAATATAATCTATAGAATTTTGATGGTTGGATATTTTTTTTTTTGAATGCTACTGATTCTATTACATTGTACTATCTGTTTATATACTTTCTCAACCTACTGAAACACAGAGAACCAATAACGCCTCCACTGAGGCTCGAACTTATAATCTTCCAAATGGAAGTCCAATCCGGATACCATTGGACCACATAGTCCTGGTGATATGAATGAAAATATATTTAACATTTTCCGAATGTTTAACCGTGTGGAGCCCACGATTCGAAAATGTGGAGATGATATAGGTCGGCTATTCGGTGGATTGCATGAGACAAGTTTTCAACTCAAATAATGATGTTATCATATTGGGACCATATATAAGATAATAAGAAGAGAGAATAAATTAATTAATTAATATAAACATATATATGTAATATCTGTTCTGTCTTTTTCTGTTCCTTATTCAAACAAAAAAACCACATTGGTTGTTGTAAGAATTGATTGTTGGTACGGTGCATGAATGACTTTATTGCATAAATTGCATGAAAAAACAAATTTAATTTAAATAACTAAGTATTCCTTCTGTCTGTCTTAATTACTTTCTTTTTAATCCGTCTCAAAATTAAATAATTATTGATAAATGACGAATTTAGTGTTCTAAAACTAAAAATTGCGTGTGAATAAGTGTTTCCTCCCAAAAAAAAAATTGTGATACCAAAGATCAAAATATAATTTAAGATTCTCTTGTTTGCTTGGACAGCTCAGTGGGTCATAAGAGTAAAGTTTGAGAATAATGACCCGAGATCAAGTCTTAACAGCAACAGTTGGAATAACCTCTCTTCTTTGTGTGTGCATAGTAAGCAAAGACCTCTCCCTCTTTGTGTGTGTGCAGTAAGCAAAGACTTAACCTGGAGGCTCTCCTCTCTGTGTATGCGCAATAAGCCCAGGTTCTCCTCTGTGTATGCGCGGTTCTCCTCTGTGTATGCGCAATAAGCAAAGATTTAACATGGAGGGTGCGGCCTCTCCTCTTTGTGTGTGCGCAGTAAAGCAATAAGCAAAGATTTAACATGGAGGGTGCGGCCTCTCCTCTTTGTGTGTGCGCAGTAAACAAAGACTTAACCGAGAGGCTCTCCTCTTTGTGTATGCACAGTAAGCAGCAAAAATAGGGTGTGGTTGAGTGGAGTGGGGCTCCACCAGGTGGAAGCAAAGATTTAACATGGAGGGTGCGGCCTCTCCTCTTTGTGTGTGCGCAGTAAACAAAGACTTAACCGAGAGGCTCTCCTCTTTGTGTATGCACAGTAAGCAGCAAAAATAGGGTGTGGTTGAGTGGAGTGGGGCTCCACCAGGTGGAAACCCTGAGTATACAAAAAAAAAAAGTAAACAAAGTATACCAAAAAAAAAAAGTAAGTAAAAAAAAAAAAGAAATAAGAAGTAAACAAAGTATACCAAAAAAAAAAGTAAGTAAAAAAAAAAAGAAATAAGTAAAAATCCATAATTTATATCCTCTCAGATGTTCTATCGAATCGATTTGAAGTCCTTGATATGGAGATTCAACCTTTGGAAAAAATAGTTTAAGATTCTCAATAGCATATATGTCGAGATTTTGGGTTTGATGCAAGATTAAAAACATTTGCTGCACAAACATCGGCATCCAATGTTCCCTAATCCAATAATTCAACCTTGCCCATACTTTAATACATATTCAGTTGGTTTAATAAGAGTATATATTTCTCTACTTTGCATAAATAGTTAAACTGCTCACAAAAATAAATTTTGTCAGATCAATAATCGAGTCTTACTAATGTGAGAGCAACTTATAAAAAATGAAAAAAACTCTTTGTCCGATCAAAGTGAGGAGAATATGAATTGCTTTATTAATTTTTCTTATTTGAATTAATAAACTATGAGCAAAGACTCACTTATAAGTTTAAAAATTAATTATTAGGGTAAGAAATTAATACGGAGTATTAATTATTCTTCACGTACAAAATTACAATTGAGTTTAATTATTATTTGCATAATAAATTATAAAATTAATTATTTACGCAGCAAATTACAATAATTCTCCGCGGCGCAAGTTAGCACTGCCCACTATTTTGACAGTCTTAGTTTGACACTCCACCGCTTACTCCACTCCGGCATCAACCGTTCCGTTGCGGGACGTTTCAGTAATTACACACTACAAAATTTCCAAAACTATCTAAGCATTCTCATGCCGTTTCCTTCTTAAACTCCCGTTTTCAGTTCCTCAATCCCCAAAATACCCTTATCATTCTCTTCATTTTACCTGCCCCTATTTTCAACGGCGAATCTTCCTTTGGATATTTCTCCAGCCGGTCCCAACTCTCTCCGGTCGGCGGCCGAACTCTCTCTCTCTCTCTCTCTCTCTCTCTCTCTCTATATATATATATATATATATATATATATATATATCTCTCTCTCTCTCTCTATATATATATATATATATATATGTATGTATATGCCATTACGCCGGGTACTACTCTAGCTATTTGCTGAGTGGCCATTTTTTCTCTCTCAAGGCCCAATAAATGCATTTTCACCTCAGCTGCCATTGAAGCAGAGCTCTGAGGTTTTACTTTACGGTCGCTATTCTCGCTCGAATATCTGCGCAGGATTTGTTTGACGGAGTTCCCTAGTTAAAGCCGTCAGTGAATCGGAGCATTTTGCGGATTAATAAGTTAAATAGTCTCTGCTATGCGGTGAAGCTGTTCTTTTCCGAAGATTCGGAAGTTCGTTTTTTTTAATCGGCTTTGAGATCTGAAGCCCTTGCGGTGAAGGAGTTTGAGCTCGTTTCGACTGCTTGAGCTAAGAATGAAGTCAAGTACTCGGCTTAACTCAGTAGTCTTTCAGCTCACTCCTACCCGAACTAGGTAAATCTTCTCATTCCAAAGACTAATAGATACTAGGACTTTGGATGATTTGTATTCTTTGAGCTAGTTGCTTCGGATGATGGTCATTGCGTGTTTATATAGGCGTGAATAGGTTAAGTCGAGTGTATTCTGGACAAATTTAGTTGTTTATCACTCGTATTATTCTCTGTGGATTGTGGCATGTTTTGATCATTATTGTTTACTGGATATGAAACTGGTTGTATAAATCTTGGTTGCTTTGCACAAATGGAATTGAGAGTGATCCTTCAAACCTGTATTATTTGCTGACTAACTGTTTGGTTCTGTGAAACTGGTTGTATAAACCTTGGTTGCTTTGCAGGAATGGAATTGACTCAATTGAGAGTGATCCTTCAAACCTGTATTATTTACTGACTCACTGTATTGGTTCTTCAAGTTATGGTATTTGCAATTACTTGTGTTTCTTTCGTGTTTGCCTACCATGCTGCTGCGTGTTGAAAGCTCCAAAATAGCTATATGTGCATGCTTTGCTGAATCACTTATTCAATCATCTGCATTGTTGGTCATTATGATGTTGATGCGATACAGTTCTGGGTTGACCTTTTGCTAACATAACTGTAACTGTTTTTTTTATTACCAGGTGTGATTTAATAATTATTGCTAATGAGAAAAAGGAGAAAATTGCTACAGGTCTGTTGGATCCTTTTCTTGCGCACCTAAAAACTGCTCAGGACCAAATTGCAAAGGCTGGCTATTCAATTGTGCTCGAACCAAAATCTCACAATGATGCATCATGGTTTACAAAGGGGACAGTGGAAAGGTTTACATATCTATGTGATGGTTCTGTATGTGTTTTGCATAATGATATCAAAACAAAACGTTATCATAGTTATAACACTGAACTCTCAAGAGAAACCAAAACAAAAAGTTAGTACCTTTGACTATTGTTCTCCTGCTAAAATAGTCTTTTGACTGGGCTCTTCTAAGAGCCAAATAAGCTATGTTAGCAATAGCTATCATGGCATGGTTAATTGTTTGAACCTCACAATGTGTCTATCAAGAATGAGTAAATAATTGGGTTCAATTGTTGCTTTCAATAGGTTTATTCGCTTTGTGAGCACTCCGGAGATCTTGGAACGGGTGCACACTATAGAATCTGAGATTATACAGATTGAAGAAGCAATCACCATACAGGGGAAAATTGATATTGATCATGGGCATGTATGTATATCAAGTTAGATGCTTTATCAAAAGTTTATTTCAAGTCAAATGGTTTTTATATAATCAAAGGTTATGAACTTAATGTGCTATTTCTTATTTCTTCAACAGGTCGAAGATCACCAGGAAAAATCATTGGGATCCTTGGAAGGTACTTCATAATAATGAAATATACTGTTAGTTTTAGAATGAGGTTATCAGTCTTAGCTTTTCTTTCTAGTTTGATTATACTTTTTATGTTGATTCAAACCTGTGATAAAGTTTTTGTTTTTATTTTGATTTTTCCTCTTCGATCTGTGCCAGTTTCATTAATCCCTTTCTTTATTTGTCTTGAGTTATTCCTCAATGCTGTTTGTGTGGTTTGCCACAAGCATACTATTTCTGAATTGGATCTCT